TAACAGTTTATTTTATTTATTATAAAAACAAAATGATATAAATAGGCTAAAAATAAGTGTCGAAAACGTTACATCTTTCAACACCATACATAGCAGATCAAATCAGAAGTTCAACATTGACTAAATTGAAAATTTCCAAGACGATTCTCTAGGTATCTATTTGTCTAGTAAACTATATTGAATGAATTTAATAAAGAGAAATGTAGTCATTTGAAAATGAATGAATGATACCGATTTAATAATATTATTTCGATTACATATTTAGTTAACATTGAATTAATATTATTAGAAATAAACATATATATGAATGATAATATGAGAAAAAATAGTTACACATCTAATTTCTTGTCATAGCGTTAACTATATCTCCGAGATGAAGAATCATAATTATGAACGCTTTCAAGGTTTCCTTTGTCTTACCTCGATCTAATCATAGCCAAAACATGAGCTTGAAAACTTTACATCAGTTGAGATACTACTACTCTTGTTAAATAAACTTGTATAAAAAAAAGAATATTCTTCTTTTATATATGTCATTTCTGTTCTTGTGCATATGATGCATACACATAATTTCTTCGAACTATAATACCAGAAAATTATGTTCATTATGATCATGATTGTAAAAAAAAAGAGATCTATGTATGTAACTTTGAATGCTCTTAAATGTGGTTTTTATTGATGAAATTGTTCCAAAATTCACTGCTGCAAAACTGGTCGATGTTTAACTTCTACTATTTCTTTATTTCGATGAAATGATAGATAGAATGCTAGTACGATTATAATCAGTAATAGATTAGAATGATTATAAAATCTATGTACATTTAGAATTTAATATGTATTTCTTTTTATTTTGAAAGGTAGCTTTAATTTTATAAAATCAATCTCAAGAAAATATTATAATTTGATACAATTGGACATGATTATATTGCTAAGATGGAGATTTTTTTGTCATCATAGATGCTATTAGCTTCAAAGTTTACAATAATTAAGCACTAAATTGATAGAATAATCTAACAAAACATTGAAAAAATTTGCTCTTACTATATGCAAGAAGTATGAATTTAAATTGTTTCAAAATTTCTGAGACACCCTATATCATTTTTACGATATGAATTTTTACAAAGAGATAATTTCGTTTTCATCTTCATAGTGACATCGATATCCTTAATGCTTCTATTTAGACTTCGTCTACATTTTCAACAATTTCATTTTATTACTATGCATACGTAACACAATACAATGCCCATAGTGTGGGAATATCTCATATTGTGTTTGGATATGGAATATACAATATATAGTTTGGAAAACATCTGTATGAACAAATTTGAAATGATTTGACTTTGTTTTTACTCTTCTTGACGTAACATTCCATTTAGAACTTTAGTAGTTCAATTGTAAATTATTGGTCATTTCAAATGGCATGGATTTAAGTGATCAATAAAATAGATGGTATGATCAGTAAGAAAAGATATTATAAAATCGGTTGATTGAATGAATGATCAGTTATATATTGAAGTACCAGTAAACTATTTAAGTGATCAGTTATTAAATGAAAAGGCTATGTACAGTAAAACCTCCATAAATGGGCACCTCTATAACAAGGGCACCTCCCATCTCTCAAAGTGGACACTGTCTTTTACGATGCACTCTACAATTGAACCTCTCTTGTATGGGCATTTACAATGAATATACCAATTATTACACTATTCTTTTTCGTTTCGTCGCTCTTTGTTATTCTGTGAATAGGAGAGAGAAAAGTTCCGTCCGTCGTAACAAACAAAATAACTCATCTCTACAGTTCTAATTGTCTAGTCAGTGATAAAAAGAGTATAAATAGTCGTGTCATTTGTTGTTTTTTTTTAAAATCATTGAAAAATGACTTCGTGCCATTATGTTTCACTTGATAAGAAAATTGCATTGATCAAATAATACAGAGAATCCATTCACAATTGAAGATGTTCATCACGATCAAGACTCCAAAGATACTAAAATTATCGAAGAACAACCTCCATCAGTCATTGAGTCCTTTGAAATGGTTCGAAAACTGCATCTACTCGCCTGTACTCGTGAACCAGAACTTCATCGATTCGTCGCTGCTTTAAAGTCAAAACTAGTCGACATTTACATTGATGGAAGCAGTAAGAAGCAAACCTCAATCACAAAATATTTTCAAAAAACTTCATTGTAAATAAGGTAATAGAAGATAAACTTAGTTGAAAAAAGATTCTAATCGACAAAAGTGCAATTTTAATACAATCAAAATACTAAGAGCGAATCGAGAACATATAAGTAGGACTGCTGTTTATGGTTTAGCTGGTGAATAACGTACTAGTGGTCGATATATGTAAACTCTATAATACGGGCACCTCCGTAAGGTGGGCGATTTGAAAAAGTCCCATTGGTGTCCATCTAAGGGAGGTTTTACTGTATATCTGCCAAGTGCAGCATACGTATGCTTTTCTTTTTTTCTCTCCCTCACGTTTATCATTGTGTTAACAAGTAAAAAAGATGCCAGTGGTCCAAGTTGCTAAATATGTGAACGATTTATCAGAGGAAGAAGTCCAAGAAGAAAATAAGAAACAGCAAAAGGAAAAAAAAAAGAACAAAATATTGGATTAAAGAAGCGGTGTTTGATAATGCCGTTAAAGCCGAAGCATCACTTGGAAATATATGGTCAAAACATTATACAAACTATTCAGAAATTGGAAGAAAAGTTTATTACAGATCTAGAAAATCAAAACTACGTGGTCCTCAATGTAGTGCAGGTGTTTATTTATTCTATTATGTAGAGAGTGATCAAGTTTCTGTTTATAAAACTGAAGCTGACCACGAGCATCATGAAGGAAACGTGCGTGGTATTGATGAAAATGTGAAGAAATGTATTGAAGATTTATTTAATGATGGGATAACGAAACCAAAACAAATTATTCGTGCATTACAAACAAGAAATTTTGAATTACCATCATATGTACAAATTAAAAATTTTTTTGTTCAATATAAAAAAAAGAAATTTGGTTCATATATTGTAAGTTTAGGTGAATTAGAACAATGGTGTGAACAGAATGTTAATATTCTAACTGATGAAAATAAATACTTTGTTGTTTCGTATAAAATAATGTACAGTGATGAAGAAGATGAAAATGAAGAAGATGAGGAAGATGTTGATGGAAATAAATTTCGTGTATTTTTATCATCTGTACGCTTGCTCAATATTGCATCAATATCATCACATATACATGCTGATGCAGCATATAAATTAATTTGGCAAGTTTTTCCAGTACTTATAACTGGAACAACTGATTTAAAGAAGGTTTTTCATCCATTTGGATTAGCTATATGTTCAAATGAAAAAACGGAAGATTTCGAATTCATTTTTAATAGTATACAAATTGGCTTGGAAAAAACTAAGAAAGATTTACTTAAATCATCAGCATTAGTGTCTGATACTGCCGATTCGATTAAAAATGGTTTTAAGAATGTATTTAAAGATGGGTATAATCAAATTATGTGTTGGTCGCACATGAAAAGGAATGTTCAAAATCATATATGTTATATAGATGATAAAGCTGTTGCTGATAAAATTATGAATGATATTGAAATGCGTCAGTTATCTAATTCAAGCACTGTATTCGAATTAGTATTAACATTATTCATGAAGAAGTGGAAGACAAACAACAGCCAAAAAAGCCAATCAATCATAGATTTTTTAGATTATTTTAATAATTAATGGATCAAATCAAATGATGGTTGGTATGAGAGCATTCAACTTTATACGCCGTCCACCAACAATGCCCTGAAGGCAACGAATAAAGTAGTAAAAGATGATGGTACATTTAGAGAACGTCATGTTCTATCAAGATTTTTAGTAATAGCTTCAAATATAATTAATAATTGGTGAATTGAACGTGATCCATCTTCAATAAATGCAAAAGTTTTTACTAAAGAACCAACAATATGTTTAAATTTATGGACTTCATCTTATCAATGAGCCAAATCAACAAAAGATGTTATTTGTCTTCAAAATGATGTTTCCAAACAATATTACGTACCAGCTCGTAATTTAGAATCTATTTCACAAGCTGATTTAAATAAATATGTCAACAAAAAATGGACAATCTTCAACCAGTTCAAAAAGTCTTTTGATATTTGGTGCTTGGAAATTAAGAATAATTCAGATTGGAAAACATCAAGATGCACCTGTCCAGCTTTTCTTAAAAATTATATATGCAAGCATATCGTCGGGATGGGGATTCGTTTAAAACTTTGTAAACCACCACCGGCAGCAAAGACTGTGCCGATTGGTGAGAAAAGAAAGAGAGGTTGACCAGCAAAAGCAAAACGTGCTTTGCTATTGCAATAATTTATTTCTGATTTGTCTCATTTCAATTTTTTTTCTCATTCTATACTATATGTTCTGGATAATTTTCCTCTTTTCTACTGGTAAAATTTGTCTTATTTACTTATCAAATTTCTTTTTTTTACTGGTACAAATGATATTCTTTTACTGTTATTCTATATAATAAACTGATCATTTTCTCATTATTTACTGGTAATCTAAGTACTGATCATTCAATCTTTATACTGATCATTTATATACTATTTTACTGGTCATTTCATCTATTTTACAAATCAAATATTTTGTTGCCATTTCAAATGTACGGTGCAAAATATTTCTCATGATCAATTACATATGACTATAGTCAGTCCATGAGAAGACTGTACTCTGTAACACGATATCAATGGCGTGTCGATCTTTTCAGGAGCAATCATGAATAGTTAGTTATTCGCGTCTAAAACGACGAGTTCATTCAAATATTGTAGTATATGATAGGGCATCATTACTGTAAACTGCCACCATATATTCATAAATTTTGAATGACAGCTGATCTTTCAAAACATTTAACTCTGCCCAAATTTTAAATTTATGTCAGTGTCTAGAGAGTGGTCTAAAATATGTTTCTATATTTTCATACATATGTTTCATACAGCAAAGCTTATCATGTCTATAGATAGAGAACTGTATGAACTACACATAGGTAAGAATACTAATACGCCAGCGCTTCTTGTTGTTTTTAAACAAAATTAGTCCGGATACTTTTTGAACGCCCTACGTATATTCATCAAATTAAAAAATAAAATATTTATGTATATTTGATTAGAAAACTCCAAAGGACGAAAAAGAAAAAGTCAATTCCAAATAGGCATCTGTGGGATCTTCTTTTTTCGTCCCGATTGAAAATATTTTGTTGGTCCCGATTCTAGTCAAAAACATTTTCTTGGTCCCGGTCCCAGTTCCGGTGAAACTGTTTTCTGATCTGTTCCAGTTTCACTCAAAATGTTTTATTGGTTGCGGTCACAGTTCTGGTTAAAACTTTTTGCAGTTTCACCGGTCTGGGTCTCGACTGAGGTTTTTTGTAGGCTCTGGTTCGATCCTGGCCCCGATTTCTACTTGAACATTTTTATTGCTTCTCGCTCTGATTTTGTTTCTAGAAGAAATTGTCTCTCTCATAATCTGTATGATTTTTTTTGAGTATATTTAAAATTAGTGTCCATGATTTTCATAAATCAGCAACATCAGTATATTTTTTTATGCATGTATCATAACTCAATAAGATGAAACCAATTTTTTCTTACTCGAAGCTCTTTCCGGTCCTATCTCTTTTATCTACAAAATTCTTTTAGAATTCACAGGTCTTACATAAACGCAAAATCTAAATGGGTGACTTTCAATCAGCGAATGCTCAAGCATCATTTTTATGGTATCGAAGCTTAGGATCTGCCAAAATATGACTACTTTTATTAGAGTTTTCGAAGACAACCACGGAATCGAAAAAATATTCTTGCATATCTACACGATCCAGGGAAACGTTTTTCGATTGTAATCAGATTTTCGTGCAAAAAAAATCACGATTATAATCGATTTATGACATTTCCTTTGTGAAGAAACAAAGAAGATCGTCAAAATCGATGATAATTTTGATTTTTTTTTCACGAAAATCCGATTATAATCGAAGTATTTTTCACTGGGTGTTATATGAGTCATAAATACAAAGAGCCGATCAGCAAATCGTTAGTCCAGACAAGATAATAAATATGAAAATTTATAGAAAAATTTCGTCAACGAAAAATGCGCCGTGACCAATTTAGCAGGATATTAGTCCCGGTCCCTGTCCCGTGAAAATCGAAATTTGGTCCCACTGGGACCGGGACCACTTTGCAGATCCCTAATTGCAAATAAATATTCGAATCAAGACCATTTAAAGATTCAACTTTTTGGTTTATTCAAGGTATCAATAGATTTGTTTTCCAATTATTTAACTTTTGTTTTATTAAAAAGATGCACAAGAAAAAGAAGAAATAGATGTATTAGAGATGACAACAGATTCACCTTCACAAAAGAAAAATGAATGAATCTCCTTCAATAACAAGACGATATTCAACAGCCGATGATCGCCAGTTACTTTTCCTCATTGAATGGGAAAATATTCGAAGATTGTTCTTCCACCTCTATATTCAGTATTATTTAAGAGCACGTCATTTACATTGAATCATTACTCTAAGCATTCTTTATGTGTTCATATTCTCTTTCAGATATTCTCAAATATCCGTACTTCTATTCTTTTTGGATTGATTATATTTTTCAATGGTTATTTTTCGTCAAGTTATAGCTGAAAAAAATGAAAAGTTGCTGGAACTTACCAATTTGAATCTTAGCAGTTTGATTCGAATAATGGAAAACGGTGGTTATAATGTTGTCAGTTTAGCCAAAGATCGAATTCTTTACTTCGACAAAGAAAATCCATCGAGATACAAAGAAAACGATCTTCATGTGTTAGCAAATAGTGATGAAATGTTTGATCAGGTCATCTTATTCAAATTAGAACCGTCAAGAATCGAAGCTGCAGTTGAAAGAAAAGAATATCTTTTGCAACATATGTTTATCGAAGCCAAGACACCTGAATCAACAACAGAAACACTTTCATTAACCACCAATGAATATAAGTCAATCATTGATAAAATTGATCAAATCGCTGTGCGACTTCCAGAGATCGAAATCAAGTCTCCAATTAATTCCAGTGAAGATCCAGATCGTCAACTTCCGTTAATTGAGAACATTATGAATTTATTTTCTGATCATTTCATTGACAAATTAGAAGATGATTATGCATCTATACAAAAACAGGTTAATCTCGAGCAAGCAGCCGATACTTCATTTGATTCCAATGAAGAAAAACAACTCTTGCATTATGTACAAATGACGTTCAATAATCAACAATTGATTTTGAAAAAAGTGCGTAAATTTTGATTTCGGACTATTGTTGATGTTTGAATTGTTTAGCTCGACGATATTAACATTCGATTATTGTCACTTGAAGAAAAAGTGTCCTATTTATAGGAGCGTCAATCGATTCCCATTATTATTAAATTATTGACTAATAATTATTTGATTGATATTCGGCAATTAGATATGCGAATCCTATCATCATGCGAAGCCAATCACATGCATTTGTTTTTTCGCTTCGTTGCCCAACGAATGAAGAACGATTATGAAAATAAATGGAATTCAATTAAAGAATGGTTGGGGCTGTCACTTAGTCCGAAGTCAATCGAATTCAATTTACTTGGATTTGGAAAATGGAACAAAATCAATAAAAATAAAAGCTGGAAAAAAATTCAATCACCAATGAAATCATCGAAAGTTGTCGAAATATTTAATAGATCTTCGTATGTGTCATTGGAAAATAGCTTATATGAGAACGACAAAAATCTTGTGGTGGTCTTCGAAGTAACAACAGCGAAGATTTGCTTTGCTACTGATATTTTACGTGATATAGCAGATACGAATAATAAATATTCAAGCTCAATGAAAACACTTTTACATAAATTAGGGCAATTGGAACGCCAAGTTTATTATTTACGTTATTACTATTCCGTGGATATACATCAATTATTTGCTGGTCTTATATTTTTTGAATTGTACCGAAATTCATCCATCGACTCAGATCAATTATTGAAGAATATCATGGATTCGGAACTTATTCGACATTATTTTCCATTGTTATATCAATTATTTGAGATTGGACAATTTATCTTTACGTATTAGTTTATTCGAATGCTGGACCTAGACTATAGTTATTAGACTTCTCATATGTTGTTGATATGAAATTCATTAGATGTTTTTTGTATCGTATCTTTCGTTCCTTTTTTGTTTGTTCAAGTTATAACGAATTGTTCAACATCAAGATTGATCACCAAACATTTTTAACAGATACTTTCACTATGATGAACCGTCAAAAAAAAATCCGGATGAGAAACAGCAAGATAGATGATGCAGCAACAGCTGTAGATAACACTATTTTTTCTATGATTATCGAGCCAATGTGCTCCATTAATCGTGAGAAAAGATTAAAGTTCTTTCTGCAATAAATAATCGGACAAAGCTAGTTCACATTGCATTCAATCAATCAGTCATCGAGAAAAACGAAATATTTTCTTTCTTTTATGCGATAATATCAAAATGAATGAATCCTTTCAATGAACTTATCTTTTTCGAATGAGAATTTTTTTCAAGATCTTTAAACCAAAACGAAGATTTACTATCCATGCGGAATATGTTCTCCAAGTCAGAAGTCTATAGGCAAAAGTCACAGGGTTTCAAAAACTAAAATTTAACAAACATTTTCTGCTTGTGAGTTTTTCACAAAAAATCTTGGAAATCATGAAAAACAGTCAGAAAACCTCTCGAAGCCATCGTAAAAACTAAGAATAATAGTGATTCCGACAGGAGAAAATGTGGTCTATTCGACTATGTAGAAACCTCAAAATCGATATTTTTGACGGGGGGGGGGGGTTTTAAGATGAAAAACAATTCTTGCTCAGAATTATTTCGTTCCTTTCAATTGTAGAAGAGAATTAGACATGAGCGAGGCCAATAATTTTTCATCAAGGTCCCGATTAAAAATAATTTGGTTCTGGTT